GACCCCGATTTCCCTATTTTTCTAAGCCCATTTACTGGATCTCAACAGGCCAGTTTACAAAGGGGTTCTGAGCCCAAAAAGTTTGAGAACCACTGGATTAGATGACCTATGTAATGGCCCTTCCTTCTGGCCTCAACAAATTTATGGAAAAAAACCCTCAATTCTATTGATGAACAAGTAGGAACAGAATCCAGCTCATTGTCTCACCTATGCTGGCTCTGTAGGACTAACAAATAAAAAGCATTATCGACATACTCTTTGCATTAAAGGCAGTGAACTGGCAAGCATTAAGAGGATCCATCCACAATCCATTTATACTGTGGTTCCCCTTTATACTATCAGAAAGGCAGCTGTGGGGCAGCTGAATTCCCACTTCGATTTTCAGCATCACCTCTCCGTCATTATAAGCCTGGCCCCTGGACTTCACAGGAGTGCAGAAAGATCTTGCAGAGCAACAGCTCACTATGTGGACTGATGAGATTCTTCAATCTATAGTAGCTGTATGTGCAAGTGCACAGTGACTCCACAGTGAGCAGGTGGCAGCCATGGAATGAAGTGTCATGAATGTGTGTTTCGCTGTACATAGTTGTATAGATGTTGTTCAGAGGCAGGTGTCATAGAATGAAATGACTGAGAAACCAAGAAGGTTCAGCATGGGAAGAGACCTAAACAGATAGTCAGCGGGTGAGTGTTATGAAGATTACAAGGGGAATGTAGACAAAAGGTTGAAAAGGTGAAGAGGTAAGAAATAAAAGCTGTTGAGAAGTATGGGGTAAGAAGCATGCAGAGGGCGTAAAGCATATGAGGAAGAGAAAAAGGATGTTGGGGAACTTGAAGAGAACTATGATAGGGAAGGTGACAAACAAGCACAGACAACATAAGGAAAGAGATGAGGGAGGAAATACAGGGAAAGGAGGCAAGTAGGTAGTAACAAAAATACAGTAAGAGTATAAAAACAGAAAGGAGGCAACAAGGAAATCTGATGATCATAGGATCACAGAAAGGAGAAAGTAGACTAGAAGAGATAAAAAGCAATGGAATTTTTTAATTAATGTATTTTAAGACTATCTCTAAGATAAGTTTTTCTTTCTGTTGCTTTAATTCTTTTCTTTTTGGCTGTGTCTATATTGGCCCCTATTCCGTAATAGGGATGCAAATGTAGCACTTTGGAATAGGCAAATCCGTGGGGATTTAAATATCCCCGCGGCATTTGCATTAACATGGCTGCCGCTTTTTTCCGGCTTGGAGATAAGCCGGAGAAAAGCGCCAGTCTGGACGCGATCCTCCGGAAAATAAGCTCTTTTCCGGAGGATCTCTTATTCCTACTTGAAAGCGGCAGCCATGTTAATGCAAATGCCGCGGGGATATTTAAATCCCCACGGATTTGCCTATTCCAAAGTGCTACATTTGCATCCCTATTACGGAATAGGGGCCAATATAGACACAGCCAAAAAGAAAAGAATTAAAGCAACAGAAAGAAAAACTTATCTTAGAGATAGTCTTAAAATACATTAATTAAAAAATAATGTTGGCTCTCCTCCTCTCTTGCCAGACCCATTAGCAGGGCCTCTCCACTAAGTCTTGTTAGTTTTCTTGTCCACAGAGACATTTTCCTTACATCTGTCCCTAGATATGAATCATATATGGATAGCACGAGAGAGTGAGTAAATACATTGGGTAAAAATTTGCAGCATTTACATGATCATTTTTCATAGGAGTGCCATACATTAAAAAGCAGAACAGCCCAAGCAGCGAAATTAGTTAAAATAGTTATTTATAAAATGTTAACTAACAAAAGCCTTCCTACCAACACACATTCACCCTATATAAAACTACCCCTTTTGCTTCCTATTGCAACCATAAATAAGCTTCCCTCTTCTGCTGCTCAAGAGCAGCCTCTCTCTCTATTTTATTAGCTTGCTGATGTTTGGCTGCTGGGGGAGGGATCCCTACCAGCCTCCCCAGTCAAAATATGGGAAGGGGGTGGGAGTTCCAGGAGATTTTCCTCTCTTCTTGCATTGTGTGCAGATGGCATTTGAAAGCTAATAGATGTCTGCAAACTATGTAGTAGCCCCATCCCGGGGGAAAAAAAATCCACAATGAGAGAGTGAGTTTAGAGAAAGTAGGACGTAAGACCATGATCTAAATCTGGTTAGGTAATTATTATTGGTGACCACAAAATTTTAACACAGATATAATCCTAATCTAACCCAATCTCTCTTCCGGCAACATCCATGGTCTGGCATTATTTTAGTTAGCTAGATGTCCACTTATGGGTGTGACCAAGTTGCCTGTGGTCTCAGAGTTTATTTACTACCACCAGTCCCAGCTCTCACTGTTCTGTGCTGTTATTTAGCTCTCATTTACCCTCAAATTTCTTCTAAGAGCCCAGTAAGCGGTGGAAGTGTTGGTAATGCTGCTAGACCAGACCTGGGCAAAATATGGTCCGTGGGCCGGATCTGGCCTGCCAAGCCACCGGATCTGGCCCATGGAGGCCCAGGCAGGCTCCCCAGCTGGCCCTGCAGCCCCATGTGCTCGGCAGAAATGTGGTTGCAGGGCTCCATTTCTGAGTTAAAACTGGAGGGGAGGGGGGAAGTTTTAGGAGCTGCCCCACCCCCAGCACATTCTGATTGGCCAGTTTCTGGCAGAAACCAGCCAATGCAAGCTGCCTGTTGGAATAACAGACAGCCAAGAAGAACCATATCCCCTCTCCTGGGCTCAGTTATTCATGAAGCACATGGCCAGGCAAGCTAGTTTGGTAGCTGGCAAGTAAGTCTCTTGGCCAAAGACTGCTTCTGAGATCCCAGCCCTTTCCCGCCCCAACTCTCCGCCCCCCCCCAACCTACCAAAACCCTCTGTCCCCCTCTTGCACCTATATCCCTTCCCAGATCTGACACCCCAATCTCCTGCTCCAGATCACACCCTCGGGCACATCCCAAACCCTGCACTCCAGTCCTCTGCCCTAGTCACAACCACCTGCTTCATTCCAACTCCCTCTCAGACTCCAGTATCCCTCTTGCACCCCCAATCCCTTACCCCAAGCTTCCTCCTGCATCCAACCTCCATCTCAAACTCTGCACTTCCTCCATTCATATCATGGAAGAGTGCAGCCTTTGGCCACTTTCAAAAATCTTGGAGTGCCCCCCCCCCAACAAAAATAATTGCCCACCCCTGTGTTTGACAATAATGACCTCTTGTGGTTCCGTAAATTCTCTAGTTCGACACTGGTTAGGTTCTAAGGGTGCTAGACTGGAGAGGTTCAACCTATACTGTGCTCACACAAACATTTTTAGCTGCAATTTGAAATTTGGAATTTATTCCCTTTGAATTTGCTATGGTTTGGGTTGGAACCATCCTCAGTGACTCAGAGGAACAAGAATTTCATTCCTTCATCCCTTCAAAATTTGTTTGTGCTGACCAATATCATATATACAGTATACAGGTTCTGGAGGCCCTTGACTTTCAGCCTCTCTCAAAGCATGCAGTTACCTTGCAACTTAAAAACCTACCCCCATTCTTTATATATAAACATACATGGTGGATAGGCAGATTAGTTTTATACATATAAACAAATGTATCTACACATACTACATAGCACAACATAAAACAAAAAAAAATATCATGCAAAGTTAGTAAAATACGTAATGTAAAAATATATGTCTAATCTGATAATAAATAACTGCTATTCAGGGAAAAATCCAGTATTTCCTGATAATTAATTTGGAAATCAAACTACAAAAGTTAGAAATATTGTCCTTTTCTTAATAAATCTTAATTGCATTTTTATTTGGGTTATGAATTAGAGTTTAGATTTTATAGCAGAATAAATACTAAATACAAGGAATACCAAAATTTTTAATACTGCCTCTAAATCAATATATCACATTTCAATTTTTAATATTAATTGCTCTGCTTTGAGAAGTTTTATGGACAAAATTACTACCATATGCATAGGCCATTTTGATTTTCTTCTGCAGGCAGTATTAAAAATAAAGCATGACAAGCTAAGGAGAAAAAAGCTTGAGCTTTAAGCATGCACAACCATATAAACAGAATGATAAGCCTTAGAGGAAAACAAAGGGTTACCTACTTTCTGCTGCTAGAAGTCCTAGTAGGAAGGCGCAGCATTTGGACAAACAACAATAGTATGAAGATTTCAGAACAAGCAAGTTATAAAACTGCAACTTGGCACACTAATTTAGTCACACGTAGTATGAACAAAAACTTGAGACGTTTTTAAAAACTTTGTATGAGAGACAGATGGTACTTGAAAAAAATATTTGGGATTGGGGCAGTTAGCACATTTGCACACTGCTAGGTTTCTGAAATTCCCCATATTCAGACAATGGCTGCTTTACAGAAGTATACATAGAATATTGCTGTTTTGAACTATTTCATAACCGATTTATTGAAAAAAATATTTTTATTGTAAATGTAGCATGGTATCATATTTCATGATTTTTTAAGTTAAATTTTTAGGATGCAAGTTTATTATTGAAAATTGCTGCAGGTATAATAGTGAATCCACTGATACTATGAAATCAGTGTCAAATCCATGTTAACAAAACACACTAAAATAGCTGAGAGAGGAAAAAAAACCGTAACTAAAACAGATTTCCTGCAAAGCTGTCAAACCTAACAGCAGTAAACAAAACATTATGAAAATCCTAACAAAGATACTGTACAGGACATCAGAAAAAAATAAAATAAAAAAGATAAAGTAAAATGCTCATGAGTGTAGAGAGCATGTGATACTTTACCCCTTCTATTTCTATGATTTCCTTCCCGTTTCAAAACTTTTTATGGTACACATAAGCAAATTAAGCAAGCAAAGGCGGTCAGACTTTGTAAGACTAATCAATAGAATATTAATATGATTACTTGGATTTTTCAAACATTGACAATAAATAAATTGTTAACTAAAGAATTTGCAAAATTGGTAATGATGCTTTAGCACTATTAACTATGTTATATTGTGCCTGGTAATGATAGAGACCACTACTATTTGAACTGCAGACTAAGACCTTCACCTAAAAAACTTATGCAATGAGTAATTCCGTTGAGTTCCATAGGACTATTCAAGGGCATAAAGTTACTCACATGCATCTCTGCAGCACTGGTGCCTAAAACTAGACCATTTATTGTTCTCTCCCACAGTGAAAGGCTAGCAGGTTTGTCTTTCTGTCTTTTTATTTTCAATTTTAATTATGAAGAGTTAATATTACTAAATTTCTATAATTTACTATGACAAAGTAGATTCTAAAAGTCCAAATATTTACCCACAGGAATCTTGAGGCAAGAGTCATTTTCAAGTTGCATTTATAAACAGAAGCCCTTAGGAAGTCATGCCATTTATGCAAAGAATCCAAAAACTAATGTGCTCTTAAAATGCCAGCTTGATCCAGTAAGAAACTGTTGCTTGCATTAAGTTAATCATTTACCACAGACCTCAGAAAGCAAATAGATATGCAGGAAATACTGCAAAATACTGTACAGCACAAGCTGAACCATGTATACTCGGTCAATTACCCTTTTAGATACATCCTGTGGTACATTCCGTGTGGTTTAAAAGCAATATAAAACATCTTACAAAAAAGTCCAGTACTATTTGAAATGGATGAAAATAGTTAATGGTTAAAAATGAAATATGAAGTCAGTAGTGTGTGTGTCTCACCAACAGAATTTAATCCAATTAAAGTTAGTGCTTCACTTGCCTTATCTCTCTAATATCTTGGGACCAACGTGGCTACCATAGAACTGCAAACAACATATGAAGCAACTGTGAAACAATTAATGACTCTTACAGTAAATGAGCCCCACAAGGAAACAACTCAAGTGTGCATTTGTCAGTACTCCACAACAAAAGATAAAATGTGCTTTTTTAAAAAAAAAAATCAACTACCTGATTTTCAAAGTTTGTGAGCACCCATTGATTTTTGTGGGTTTTGTAATTGGTCAACAGGTCTGAAAGTCAGGCTATAAAAAGTTGCATAGAACTGAAAAATTTAAGAGTTGACATTGGTATCTTTATGGGCTTTTCTATTTATTGGTTAAGCATATGGGCTTACACTATGCGGCTTAAAGCCTGAAATAGGGAAGTCAGGTAAAAGACATAAGTATTCATCATGAGAAAAATCTCTTTCCAGTTCAGCCTGCAAAGCTAACAGCAATTCAAATACTTGCATGACCTTTCTTTGATTTGCGGCTCAAGAGATGACCAAAGAAGTTAAATCAGCATAAATGAAATGCTTCTTACTGCACCAATATCATGTGACAAGAAAAACAAGGTTTTAATGTTGGTCAGTGCAAGGGTTTTAGTTTTGGAACACAGACTCTCACAAGACATCTTGAAAGTGCTAGATGTTAGAAATGTGTTCATTAGCTTTGAATAAGAAACAGCCATAAAATATCTAATTTTAGTAGATCACTTTATTTCTAGTAGGAGTTACTGAATGTAAATATTTAGAGCCCTTCATAGATACAACATTTGTATTCACATCTGCAAAAATGAACCACAGATATCAGCATCCACATCCGCGGATATCCACAGATTTGCAGGGCTGTATAAATATGAAGAAGGCATTTTAATTTAACATCTATCCCAGAAAAATTCATAAAGTACTATTTTATTGTCCTCCTTCAAATTCCTCAAGACTTATTTCTGCAATATTAGCATATTGTCAGTTGATAACAACTAGGTAAGTGGCATGCTGCAGATAACCTACAAAAGCTTCACAACTTGTTTTACTGCCTCCTCCTCCCTTCTGCACCTCCTCCTCATATGTTTGGTTCTTCCAACCATTATGTATTGTCATTAGAGGAGACATGCTGATGAAGGGAACATGTTATCCCAAACAGGACAGGATATTAGGGAAATACTACATATTGACCAATCGACTGGCTGGATCAAGACCCAGTGCGCTATGGGCGGTAATGAGGAAAAAAAGGAGATTTCAGGCTTGCCAAGAGAAATTCCAGGCTCCAGGGCAGAACAGTCAATGGGCCCCCATATATGCACAGTCTGTGCCCGTGTGGTCTGCCTGACATTTGGGCAGTGCTGAACCTGCACTGACTGGAGCCCAGCGAACTGTCAGCATGGTCAGGACTTCCACATGCCCATGGGATGGGGCTGCCAACTGTCTAATCATGCACACCCAAAGACCCATGCCTGACTTCCCTCTGGACCTTCCCTGAAGCCTCATCCACCATTCTTCACTCGTTCTCCCTCACCATCACTCACTTTTACTAGGATAGGCCAGGGATTTAGGGTACAGGCTATGGGAGGGAGTTTAGGTGCTGGCAGTGAGTTGCTTCTTCCTGGGACTCCGGTCTCAGGTAACTCTTACCTATTCCTGATCAACCCCATCTGCTCATTGGATTGCTTACAGCCCCTATATTGGTGTAAAGGCTATTCCTCACTCTGGCACTCCGAGTGCAGAAGGTCGGGGTCTGCAAGACACCTTACAGTACCTTGCCTCTATAGGCTTCTGCTTAAAAGCTTCCCTAGGTCACAGATTCCCTTGCCGTAGAGGAGACATGCTGATGAAGGGAACATGTTATCCCAAACAGGACAGGATATTAGGGAAATACTACATATTGACCAATCGACTGGCTGGATCAAGACCCAGTGCGCTATGGGCGGTAATGAGGAAAAAAAGGAGATTTCAGGCTTGCCAAGATTTGCAGGGCTGTATAAATATGAAGAAGGCATTTTAATTTAACATCTATCCCAGAAAAATTCATAAAGTACTATTTTATTGTCCTCCTTCAAATTCCTCAAGACTTATTTCTGCAATATTAGCATATTGTCAGTTGATAACAACTAGGTAAGTGGCATGCTGCAGATAACCTACAAAAGCTTCACAACTTGTTTTACTGCCTCCTCCTCCCTTCTGCACCTCCTCCTCATATGTTTGGTTCTTCCAACCATTACGTATTGTCATTAGAGGAGACATGCTGATGAAGGGAACAACAGTTTAGGTGCTGGCAGTGAGTTGCTTCTTCCTGGGACTCCGGTCTCAGGTAACTCTTACCTATTCCTGATCAACCCCATCTGCTCATTGGATTGCTTACAGCCCCTATATTGGTGTAAAGGCTATTCCTCACTCTGGCACTCCGAGTGCAGAAGGTCGGGGTCTGCAAGACACCTTACAGTACCTTGCCTCTATAGGCTTCTGCTTAAAAGCTTCCCTAGGTCACAGATTCCCTTGCCGTTGGAGGTAGCTGCCATCACCAAGTGAAACAAATTAGATCCCTTTCTTTTTGAATCCAGGGAGAAAGCACTTGGACTTCTTTCAGAGGGGTATCCCCAAACTCTTTTACAACAGATCTTCAAAAAAAAGAGTAAACAAATGGCACTCCATTTGTAGCTGGAGGTAAGTGGCATGCTGCAGATAACCTACAAAAGCTTCACAACTTGTTTTACTGCCTCCTCCTCCCTTCTGCACCTCCTCCTCATATGTTTGGTTCTTCCAACCATTACGTATTGTCATTAGAGGAGACATGCTGATGAAGGGAACAACAGTTTAGGTGCTGGCAGTGAGTTGCTTCTTCCTGGGACTCCGGTCTCAGGTAACTCTTACCTATTCCTGATCAACCCCATCTGCTCATTGGATTGCTTACAGCCCCTATATTGGTGTAAAGGCTATTCCTCACTCTGGCACTCCGAGTGCAGAAGGTCGGGGTCTGCAAGACACCTTACAGTACCTTGCCTCTATAGGCTTCTGCTTAAAAGCTTCCCTAGGTCACAGATTCCCTTGCCGTTGGAGGTAGCTGCCATCACCAAGTGAAACAAATTAGATCCCTTTCTTTTTGAATCCAGGGAGAAAGCACTTGGACTTCTTTCAGAGGGGTATCCCCAAACTCTTTTACAACAGATCTTCAAAAAAAAGAGTAAACAAATGGCACTCCATTTGTAGCTGGCCTCTCAGTCTTAGGCATGCACACACAGACCCGTTACCTTCCAGGACATAAGAATCAAATCATTACCTTAAAAAAGGTGATTTTATTAACAAAACAAAAAGATATACAGGCAGTCCCCGGGTTACGTACAAGATAGGGACTGTAGGTTTGTTCTTAAGCCGCTGAATCTGGACACCAGTTCTGACT